ACTGGAAAATTTTTTTGAATCCGTCTGTACTGTTTCCCCCCCCCCCCCCCCCCACCTCAATCGAATTTCTGGCTCTGTCTCTGCGTACAACTGACCATGCACAAAAACTGGTTTTTTAAGTACCAATCCTACATGTGACAATGTTTGACCTTGACTTTTGTTAATAGTCATTGCATATGAAACATCAATGCGAATTGTCTTCGTTGAAACTTGAATGGCAACCTGGTATCAGATGGTGACATTGACATTCTGGTGATCAACATTTTTGTTCCTTTGTTAGAACCATCCATTAACTCGGCTTCAATTACACGGGCTGCTAACTTGGTGATTACCAACTGCGTACCATTACACAATCCAACTGAATGATGAACATTTCTTAACAACATGACTGGTGAGCCAATTTTTAAAGTTAATGAATGGTTTGGTACACCTGAAGCTCTAATGCCGTTCAAAAATTCTGGTGTGTGTACATCACACAGTATTCCAACGTCTGCATCGACTTTGTACACTGTGTCACAACTAAAAATATGTTCTACTTTCAGCCGTATGCAACTCACTCATATGTTGTACATTTTTGCACAACAAAACTGAATGAGTCAAACGACTGGATTAGGGTTGTCATAGTTGACATGCTGTAATAGTTGATCAACATATTGCTCCCAAAATATGCAAGGTAAACGTCTCTCTCTGAAAAAAGGAAAAAAAATTGTTATAAGGCGTACACACATTAGGAAACACATATAATCCATGATTAAGTGTAAAGTTGATTAATATAACATGACTTACTCATGTTCCTGAAGAACAAAGTGGATGAACTTGGCCTCCCGTCCATTAATTATGGTTGTACGTGGAGATTCAATCGAGAAAACAGAACCAACCAAATCTATAGAGATTTATCATCATAACAATAACTACTATATATATATATATATATATATATATATATATATATATATATATATATATATATATATATATATATATATATATATATATATATATATATATATATATATATATATATATATATATAGGCGGGTTCATGTGCGGCAGTGTCTTACGGTGCGGTTATTTCTTACGGTGCGGCAACACCAATAGTTCAACAAATATGCACCATCAACGTTAGGAAAATACACCACACAAAACAGAGTAAACAGAGCCCTGCATCACCAAACACACACCATTAGGTGTGAGTAAAAACATCATACACTGTTCGGAAATACACCATTGGGGGTGGTGAGTTATATGGTGTATTTTTTTGAGTCTGTTGTGTATTTTGTGATGTTTTATTGCATTTCATTGTGGTGTGTTTTTATTACACTGTTGGTGCATATTGTTAACACTGTTGGTGTATTCTGGAATTTGACCGCACCGCCGCACGGTAAGACCCCGCCGCATATGAGCGCTCTTCTATATATATATATATATATATATATATATATATATATATATATATATATATATATATATATATATATATATATATATATATATATATATATACTTGAAATGATAAACGAAATGAGGACCGTAAATAAGTATTCCCAAATAGTTCGGAAGCATTGATTTGGGTAGGACCAAGTTGATCGAAAGCTTTCAACATGTATGTCATGTTTGGAAAGTCGTTGTTGTTATACTGAAAGACTTTTGTAGAATGCATGAACAGGATCTTGTATTTGTGGTGTGTAGTTTTGTATCTCATGTCATTTGTTGCAATAAAGTTTTTAATGGAGTACAAATGACCCTCAAAAAAGATTTTTTAAATTACATGACCAATATTATATTATTATTTTACTCAACATGTTAAATTACATGAATTACATGAATTTATTTATAAATTGGCTAATTTATTTTTATAGTATAGTATTATTATTATTATTATTATTATTATTATTATTATTATTATTATTATTATTATTATTATTATTATTATATTATTATTATTATTATTATTATTATTATTATTATTATTATTATTATTATTATTATTATTATTATTATTATTATTATTATAGTAAATTAGAGTAAATAGTAATTATAGTAATAATAATAATTCGTTAAGGCTAATAAGATGCATGATTCTGCGTTTTTGTACGTCTCTCTCTCTCTCTCTCTCTCTCTATATATATATATATATATATATATATATATATATATATATATATATATATATAACAATAATAGTAACTAATATTATATTCTTCTTTTACTCAACATGTTAAATTACATGAATTACATGATTCTATTTATAAATTAATATGAATACAATAAATATTTTCACATTTGGAGGAAAAATTTTTCAGAATTACATGAATCTATTTATAAATTAATATGAATACAATAAATATTTTCACATTTTTAGGGAAAATTTTTAGAATAATTATTTTGTTTTAATATATATATAGAGATAGAGATAGTATATTATTATTATTATTATTATTATTATTATTATTATTATTATTATTATTATTATTATTATTATTATTATTATTATTATTATTATTTTATATAGTAATAGTAATTATAGTAATAATAATTGGCAAATAGAATGATTCCGCGTTTCTGTATTGTTATTAAGGCTGATTTTAAGTTTTGTATTAAGGATTGATTTAATTAAGGTTGATTTAATTTAAATAATTTAATTACGGATGATAGAATTTAATTTAGTATGATTTAATTTAATTAACAATAATTATTTGTAATAAAAAATATATAGGCTGATTTAATTTAAATGATTTAATGATGATCTAATTTAATTAAGAATAATTATTTGTAATACTAAATATATAAGTTAATTTAATTTAAATGTTTAATTAAGTATGATCATTTGTATTATATATATATATATATATATATATATATATATATATATATATATATATACACGGTGATTTAATTTAATTAAAATATTATACTATAATAACGAATAATAATAATAATAATAATAATAATAATAATAACAATAACAATAACAATAACAATAACAATAACAATAACAATAACAATAACAATAACAATAACAATAACAATAACAATAACAATAACAATAACAATAACAATAACAATAACAATAACAATAACAATAACAATAACAATAACAATAACAATAACAATAACAATAACAATAACAATAACAATAACAATAACAATAACAATAACAATAACAATAACAATAACAATAATAATAATAATAATAATAATAATAATAATAATAATAATAATAATAATAATAATAATAATAATAATAATAACCAACATTATATTCTTCTTTTACTCAACATGTTAAATTACATGAATTTATTTATAAATTGGCTAATTCATTATTATAGTATAGTATTATTATTATTATTATTATTATTATTATTATTATTATTATTATTATTATTATTATTATTATAGTAAATTATAGTAAATAGTAATTATAGTAATAATAATTCGTTAATGCTAATAGGATGCATGATTCCGCATTTCTGTATGTGAAAAATTCATTTTGTATGTGAATTATTATTACTATAATAATTACTATAATTTATATAATAATAGTAATAATAATAATAATAATAATAATAACAATAATAATAATAATAATAATAATAATAATAATAACTAATATTATATTCATCTTTTACTCAACATGTTAAATTACATAAATTACATGAATCTATTTATAAATTAATATGAATACAATAAATGTTTTAATATTTAGAGGGAAAATTTTTGGCACAATTATTTTACTTTAAGATATATAGAGATATAGAGATAGAGATGACAAAATTCAAGAATCGGTAATCTATTTTTGGAAGCAAATAAAGTAATTAAGTATAATGGGAAAATTCAAGAATCGGTAATTTATTTATGGAAGCAAATAAAGTAATTAAGTAATGGAAAAATTCAAGAATTGGTAATTTATTTATGGAAGCAAATAAAGTAATTAAGTATAATGGGAAAATTCATTAGTAAAGATGAATGGTGCAAATAAATCATAATGTATACCAATTACGAGCCGCAACAACATCTTTTTACATTGGGAAGAGCAATCTTATTTTTTAATATATGTAATTAAATACTGAATATAAATAAATAAATAAATGAATAAATAAATAAATAATGAATATAAACATTAGTATATTGTTTTTATTTTATTACTAAGTATGTTAATATTTTCAATTTATTATATATGTTAATATTTAAGTAACATTGGTGAGTGTTTTTTTTAAGTTAAATTGATTGATTTGATTTTTTGCATTGTGATGGTTTAATTTCAATATGTTAGCGATATAAATGTCCAAACCTTCTAATGTAAATAAAATGACTCTTCAATTAGTTTACAGCAAATACAGTTTACAAATAAAAGTGTGTACATTTATCCCAATGTGAAGTCGTTGAAAACATCGGTATATTATTTTTATTTTATTATTAAAAATGTTATTATTTACAATTTATTATATATGTTAATATTTCCTCACCAAAAAAAAAAAAATGTTAATATTTAAGTAACATTACTTAACATAAGTCATATCCGTGCATCGCACGGGTAAAAAAAAAAAAAAAAAAAACCAATTAAAAACTCTTTCACTAATTAAATATGAGAATTAAACCCTAGGGGCCTTACCTTAATGGTTCAAGAGTTAGCCTAAATTGAGAAATTTAATGACTCGATGATCTTTTGTGACAAATTTTACTACTAATTTAAATTAGAAAATTTATTGACTCTATCCAATCTTTTTTGACAAATTTTATCTATGTGACTAAATGAATTACCTATCCTAACATGTAAAATCCTCTTATATATAGGGAGTACTGATTTCGTGCTTTTGTAGCGGGTGGTTGGATCTTTCATTCTTATCATCTTATGTGGTCGGTACTTGACTACTACGTAGTAAGATGAATTGACTTCATAACTAATCAACCAATAACATTCCAGGGGGTTTAAAAGGACTTATCATCATTCATTACTCTCTGTCCCTGTCGTTCTTGCCCATTCTTGCACACTACCCTTTCTGATGTTTTTATATTTAGACAAAAAAAGTTGCTGATTTTGTTTTGCATATTTAATATTTAAATGATTTTGTCTTGACCGCCTTTATATACTTCATGCCAATTCTGCACCGCACCGCACCGGTTCCGGCGGTGATATATAAATATGGCGCTGGTTCATGAGAGCTAGCTAGTGGGTTCTTTCTCTTCATTTGCCATGGAAGTTGTGCTTGTTATTCTGGTTTTGCAGCTGGTGTTTGTTGACCAAGGGGTTAATGGAAGGGGGTTTTCAAGTAAGGATTCGTATGTGTCTGCAATTGGGGACCCAGGAATGAAGAACCCAAATTCCAGATTTGCATTGGAGGCTTGGAACTTCTGCAATGAAGTGGGAGAAGAAGCTCCAAATATGGGTAGCCCCAGGCTGGCTGACTGTGCTGATCTTCATTGCCCTGCTCATATGCATCTAGGTTCAATTCATTTCTACCCTCTTGTTCTTTGGCCCTCAGTTTTTGAAATTGTTGTTCTAAATACTACTGTTTTTGTTTATGGTTCTCCCCTCTGTTTTGGAATATATCATTTAGTGATTAATGCATCTGGTAATTTTATGGACCTAATTGTCCTGAATATTTGGTGTTTATATCACTTGGATTCATCTCAAGGAAAAAAAAAAAAAAAAAACTGATTTGGAGAAATTGGAATGAGGATGTTAGGTGATTGCAGTGTTTTAGGGTTTAATATGGTTGGTATATGAAGAATTATCTCACACACTTAGAAAGATTGTTGTGTGGAGACCAGTAAAGGGCCAAGTCTAGCAATTGGTGGTTAGAGTATTGTTGGGCAGAGAGGCCGGTAAAGGGTCAAGTCCAACACCTTGCCTCTTGAAAATGTGGTGATATTAGGAAATAAAGTTATGTCTTCGCTACGAGTTATAAATTTTGGCGTAAAGGCTTGATTCACTGTGCGGTTAAGACTAGCAGGTGCTGGGAGGGGGAATTGTTGGGCGGAGGCCTGCATGTACTTTACTAGAAAAAAATGATCTGATGGGTCAGTTATTTTTTAAGGAAATGTTGTTGAACTTCTTGCGTGAATTAAACGATTTCCAAATGTAATTTACTCTTTTTTTGCTGAAAATGCTATTCTACCTGCTTGATGTCTATGCTTGACTGAAAATATTGTTTTAACTAAATTATCTTTGAGAATGTAATTCTCTGTAGTGTCTACCAATCACGTACGATTCTGTTGAGTGTGATGTAGTGTGTAAAGTTAAATCTTATAAATCCGTTTTGGTTTCTGCTGCAATGAATGAGATAATTTTGACAGGTGAGTTTCTCAAGAAGGAATGCAAATGTGGCGTACATCATAAGGTGAATGAATTAGACAATTTGTTAAGCGTTGGGAATGACTTCCCGGGAGGTGGTTTCGTTTCATACATGGACCCTGATCTTTATGCGGTGGAAAAGGAGAAGTACCTTGGATCTCTTTGTGAAGTGAAAACTTCCGATGAACCGTGGCAATTTTGGATGATTATGCTGAAAAACGGAAACTTTGACAAGACCACGACTCTTTGCCCCGAAAATGGAAGGAAAGTGGAAAAAATCGTGACAGACAGAAATTTCCCGTGTTTTGGTAAGGGCTGCATGAATCAACCACTTGTCTTCCATAACTACTCGAGGAAAGTTTGCTCCGAGCACCATGCATCATTGACGGGCGGGTTTTATGGAACATATGACCTCGATGCCAATTTAAGCTCGGGGCAACAACAGGGAAACTCTTTCTTTTCAGTTTCGTGGAGTAAGAACGTAAGCACAGGTAGTTGGATTCTCTCGCACAAATTGACAACATCTTCCAAGTACCCTTGGCTTATGTTGTACCTAAGATCTGATGCAACCAAAGGTTTCAACGGAGGATATCACTATACCGGCCGTGGAATCATGCGAAAGGTCTGTACATCAAATCTTAAATTCTTTTGTTGTTTAAAGGCTAACCAGAATAGCTAAGGACCTTGTGGTCCAAAATGGCACCAAGTTGCTCCCTCATGTGGGAGGTTGTAGGTTCGAGCTTCAGTGAAGGCTATATTAGGTTGAGAAAGTAGTTATGAACAGATACTACATTGTAATAGAGTCAGTAGTATTCAAAAAATTGCTCAACTTTATGAATGATTGTTGCAGTTGCCCGAGTCGCCAAACTTTAAGGTGAAACTGACACTTGACATTAAACAAGGAGGCGGTCCGAATAGCCAATTTTATCTTCTCGACATAGGCAGCTGCTGGAAAAATAATGGAGATCCATGTGATGGAGATGTTATAACAGACGTGACGCGATACAGTGAGATGATCATCAACCCGGCAACCACGAGTTGGTGCCGAGCAGACAACCTTAAATCGTGTCCGCCCTATCACACTAGTGCTACTGGGGAGATAATATACAGAAATGATACAGCTCGGTTCCCTTACTCAGCATACCATCTCTATTGCGCTCCAGGTAACGCACAGTACTTGGAGAAGCCATACGATATTTGCGACCCATATAGCAACCCCCAGGCGCAAGAACTGGTTCAAATTCTACCTCACCCGGAGTGGGCGGTCCATGGCTATCCTGAAAAACAAGGAGATGGGTGGGTTGGCGATACAAGAACTTGGGAGCTTGATGCAGGAGCCGTGTCTAGTCGGCTATACTTTTACCAGGTAACTTCTGCCCGAATTTCGGGTTGTTTGGTTGCAATTCCCTCAATTCAATGAATTAGAATTCATCCCCGGAAGGAAGGAAAAACAAAAAAGACCTTTTTGCCCTTGATGATTATTATTATTATTACACAAGGGTATTTTAGTCGTTATATCACTTCTTCCCTTCACATTCCCAATAATTTTATTCTTTCCCACCAAACAATATAATTTGAATTCCTACTTTATTCTCAACTTATTTTTTTTTCCACTGAATTACAATTCTTTTCCTCCCTAATTTGAAACAGGATCCGGGAACAAAACCGGCAAGGCGGATATGGTTTTCCCTTAATGTTGGTACAGAAATATATGTTACTGGAAAAGGGGCTGCTGCTGCTACTGCTGAATGGTCTGTTAGTGATTTTGATGTATTAGTTCCTGATGAAAACAGCCATCACAGTATAGCCTCATTGTAAACTTGTAATGTCTTAAAATACTAGCATTATTGTTGTTTGAAAAGAACTCTCTTATACTTTATTACTTTCATATTGATTAGTTGTGCCATGCACTTGGGACTTTCAACAACTGCTGTACTGGATGACCATGATCACAATTGATCTCAATTCTCATCCCCCATCCAAGCCCCCACAATTTGAGCAGACAAAAAATTGTTTATACTCAAACTTCTTTCAGTTCAACTAGAAGTGGACTGATTTCGCCCGCACGAATTTAACTCAATGGCTCAGTAGACAGTATTTATGAGAAAAGACCAAGGTTCGAACCTCTGGCGGCAGGGTGGAGATTATGCCCAAAGTGGGCAGATAAAAAAATATGCTAAGAAATGGGAATGGGGTTCCAAAAGAATGATGATCACAAGAAGAAGAATTTAGTGTTTAATGGTAAGAATATCAAGGCTGAATTGTAATAAATGTACCATGCTAGAGTTCGGTTACATGTAGATTCCTTATTAATTCAAGTTGGTGTTGATAATTTTCAGTACTAATCTATAAAAAAAAAATAATTTTTTAATCTAGAAAGTGATAATTGTAGGGGCACATTAGAATATGATTGTTATATCATGGATCATAGTTTACTTGCAAATTGCAATGCAAGGTGAAGCAAGTTAAATTCTTACTTTTATCAACTTAAATTTAGTTTTATATAAATATATATATATATATATATATATATATATATATAATTAATATAAAAAAATGTATTATTAAATTTCAAATGACACCCATATTGATATTTTAATTTTAAAATTTGAAATTAGCATACGATTTTATATTAAGTCACTACGTTGCCAACTACTATATAGTGTGATGACATCTATGTTACTATTCCAAATAGGTGGTCACAGCTCGAACCCTGATGGTGGAGACATTGAATCTTTGGGTTGAAAAAGTTTGTATCAAATAGCTACTACCTTGTAAAGAATTATGAGTATTTCAAAAAAATATTAAATCACTACATCAAGTTCATTTTCAAAATACTATAAGTTTATTTTTACAATTGTAATGCAACTACGTTATAATGATGTATCTCAAAAGATTCATTAACGGAGCATTACAGGTTCAATTTCATAATGTTAATGGTTCACTTTTACAATATTGAAAGTTCATTTTTACAATAATAATGCAACTACAATATAAACAAACGAACCTCAAATATGTTCATTAAAAGAATACTAGAGATTCATTTTTAAAATACAGAAGGTTCATTTTTACAATATTGCAAATCCATCAATAAAAAACTATGATAAAAGTATATTAATATAGTATCATTCAAAAGATAAAAATAGGATTTTTAATAATACATTTTTTTACATTGATTTAAAAAAAAAAACAAAAAAAAAACAAAAACAAAAACAAAAAAACAAAAAAAAAAACAAAAAGAATAATGTGTAAATGATGGTAAGTAAATTGATATTTTAATAAATCTATAGTATTATAATGATAAACTTACAGTATTGTTATAATAAGCCGTTGTCAATAATACTTTATAATAAAATTACAATATTTTTTTTTGTGCACATGAGGGACGGGAACACCAAGGACCTTGTGGTCCAATGGTACCAAGTTGCTCCCTTACGTGAGAGGTGATGGATTCGAGTCTCAATGGAAGCTGTAATAGATTGTATATGTGGGTATATCCCCGTCCTTATAATAAAAAAAAAATATGAAAATGAGGGACCAGGAACCAATGATTAATAAATTCTTACGCCATCGGAGTTCTGCAGTGGCCCTCACAAAGAACATGAAACATGAACATTACCCTCACAAAGTACATGAACAATCTCAGATTCCGACCTGGACTCAATTTCCTTATTCAAAGCTTCTACCATAGTTTCCGATTATAGTAATGAATCATGGTCCATAATGCAAGGTGGAACAGGGTCAATGACATAATTTGACCTTAGAGTTAAACAAATCTTATAAAGCAAATACTCAATAATAAATACACTAGGTTAAAGTAGGGACTCAAGTAAAATTGAGTTCAAGCTCTTACTACTACCATTCATATGAGATATACCCAGAAGAGTGAGAAGAGTCATGCTACATTCTTTTATAAATATAAATCACTACATTACATAGTGAATATAATACGAGTATTATTTAGTAATTTTTTAGTTAAAAAGACGCATTTTTCTACCCAAATATACTAAATCAGAGATACTTAATGCTGAAATGCCCTTTATCCCATGAGTGTCCAGACTCCCTGAAAAAATCCATTTCCATGAAGCACTGCTACTTCATGCAAGAGAGCCACCACCATAAAGATTCTAAACATGATGCAAAACTTCTGAATGACATTCTTGAAAATAAATCATTCTACCAATTCAAGCATTGTATCCTACTTTTATTTTCCACATAACATATATACCTCCTTTAGAAATCGAAGAATGCAGTGAATCAGAAAAGTAAAGTAAAATGCAGTGAATCCAAGTGTTGAACACCAAAAAAAAAAAATTGTTTATATATTAACTGAACATTGTCTACCACAAGCACCTTCAGAAATACATTTAGATATAGGACACCATGGTTCTAAACACAGGTATACAATTGCATGACAAAATTCAAGGAAGCAACTGACTTGAGCTATGGGGGAACCCTCATTTCAGAGGCAATTCAATGTGTTCACTTGAAGCATTTTGCATCCAAAAGCTCCTCTCCCTCAAAAGGCTCATGATCCTCAATCATCTGGCTGACCCGCTCCTTCTGAGCTTCATCACTAATGTCAGCTTCCTTCCAGTCATAGAGCTCCATGTCATACACTTCATCCATAACGAACTTGGGAATTTCTTTCCCTCGGAAAAGCCACAGCCCCTTCACTTTGAATGGGGGTTGTGAACCAATCACCAACATCTTACCAAAAGCATACTTGCGTGCTAAATCCATTCTCTGCAGAAAACCACCCACCTTGTTCATAGTCACAAAGGAAACAGTGTTCTCATCATTGTACTTGTAATCACAGAACCAGAGAGAGTATCCCTCAGGATCATACATATCCCAGAAACCTGTTTTACCAATCAGAAAAGGTACAAGTTTTAAGTAAACAAAATTGTATTGTAACAAATTACACTCATTTGCAAAGATGATGATGAAAAGTGAAAGCACACCTTTAATGGCAACCTCACGGAAGTTGGTTTTAGTGTTAGAGTATAGTCTCTTCCACTCATCCAGAATCATTTTGCTTGGAGGCAAAAGATCAAGAGGATTCTTTGGTTTTGGTTTGGGTGCCTCCTCTTCCTCCACTTCTTCCTTAGGTTTTGCCTCTTCCTTCTTAGCCTCTTTCTTTGGTTCCTCTGTTTTGGGTTTTGCAGATTCTTTTGGCTGTGCAGGCTTCTTTGACGGAGGGGGTGGAACCGATTCTGCTTGTTTAATCTCGCCCAATATCTTGCTGAAATTTGGCTGTTTCACCATAGTCCAGAAATATCTCTCCACATGGGGGAATTCTTTGGTAAAGGCCTTAGTCATGATCATCTTAAATCCAATACTAAGGTTGCAAGTCATAATGATGTCAGCAAGCGTGACAAAGTGTCCAACCAAATAAGTGTTAGAGGCAAGGTGGGTGTTCAAGGCCTCTAGCGCTCTCTTCAGTGCAGCAACTGCAACCTCCTCAGCCTATATAGACAATAACAAATAGAAGATTTTTGAGATTACTGCAATTGCAAAAAGTTCCCGTGAATTGGCAATTGCCAAAGGGTATAAGGAATGGAGATAAGCAGCTCTTCATACCGGAGGCAAATGTACACCATGACCAATTCGGGGGTACAGCCACCGGGCAATATTTCCATCAATCTCAGTAGCTGAAAAATCATTCCATTGCTCAATATGGGCCTGTCCAAGAATGATCAATAAACAAAACAAGTCATGGAAAGGCCTATTTATTAGTAAAGTGATCAAACAACCAATGCACTGTAGTCAACTAAGAACTTACATATTCGATCAATGAAGATCCAAAAAGAGGATTGTCAGGCTTCAACTTAGCAACTACAAGTAGGTGGTGACAGAACATCAGAATATAGATTCGATGGTAACTCCAGGATATCAAAACAGATCACTAAGAAAACAACACTCACCATAACGTGCAATGGCATTGCTCTCAAATACTGGACCTTCAGGTGTTTCAAGCACAGGAGCCTTAAAATGGAAAACAAAGAAAAATATTAAAGAAATGATACAAAATAGATGTAAATTTGGTTTTCCCTAGATTAATATACTACCTTTCCAATTGGATTCATCTTAAGAAACTCTGGAGTCTTGTTTGATACACCCATCTTGAAGTCCTTCGCCAATTCTACTTTAACACCAGTGTATTCCGCAGCGATGAGTGCCTTGAATGCATTCTTGTTTATATTGGATGAATGCAGAATCTATAAAATAGAACAATGAAAAAGTTACTTAGCAATATGTAAAAATAACATACTACCAAAACTTTCAAAATAGGGGACGAAGTATAATCACAAAATAATCAGCAAATAGCTGATCATTGCAACTAGACTTAAAAGTATGTGCAACACAGTAATACATACAGAGTACTCGAAAATCATGTATTTCCATTTGGTAATCTAAAATTCAAAAATTGGTACCAAAGGGCAATACTCCGTGGCCCAGTTAAAAATCAATGTACACAGATTTCAACCGAATGAGTTTATAAAGGAATGCACAATAGTTTAAATAAAGAACCATAAATGATAAAGGACATTAGATAACTTCCAAGTTTAAAGATGGTAATAGCAACTTCAAGCAAGGAGAGCAATCTCAATTGAAGGAATTTAACATGAAACTCTATGCAGGTAACTTAACATAGCTCTTTCTCAGTTCCCCGGTAAATATAGTTAAAGAAAGGTGCTACCTTTAACATGGAACAAATAGTAAATACCACAAACACAGCATTTCTTGCAGCATTCCATGAAATGGTATAATTTCAAGGCATCATACCAAAAATTAAACATAAAGCACCACCAACTTAAGCTTATTAACAGAAAAAGAAATCAGTACAGCATTGCATTTTTCAACTATATGCAAAATTTAGGGAAAAAAAAAACGACAATTTTGAATGGAAGAATCTAAGTAAAAGAGAATTAACTATCAGATCACGCCCCAGATCTAAGTAAAAACAATAACCCGGCACAAAAACAGAGAAAAAAAGCAACTCACCAGAGCCATGGCTTGAGATTAGAGAGAGGCCGCTGTGGATTCAGAAGGCCTCTACCGTTATAAGGGGCGGAGTGTTAGGGTTTCTTTAGAGGGGCTAGTGATGGTGTTGCTATCACTGTAATAAAGTGTGTGCTTGGGGGAGTATTTTTTGGGTACCGAAAATGTAGGGGAATATGCCGGGCAGGGGCTTTTTGAGGAAGGGTGATCTCGGAATTGTCAAGATACTTGGGCATTTTTAAATAGGGAAAATGGCACTTTTTACCCCTGAGTTATATACTTATAGCACTTTTCCCCCCTCAATTATTTAGGTAAGCACATTAGCCTCCTAAATTATTCTAAAAGTGGTGCTTTTTCCCCCCTTATATATTAAATTGACATTTATACCCTTAAAGTAAACATTTTATTTATTTTACTACTCCAACAAATTATTGCGTATACGTAGGGATGACCACGGTTCGATTCGAATTGAACCGGATACTAAAGCAATCGAATTAATAATTTACGGTTATAATTCAGATCTCCCCAATATTTAAATGTCAATTTATTAAAATTATGTATCAAAAAATTTATTAATATTCTCCAACAAAAAATTGAATTTAAAATAGTCTAAATTCAACAATAAATGTATTTTATTTTTTTCGGAACATGAACCGTCCGTTCCGATTCACGATTTTAATAAACTCTAAATATCGAATTTCGATTCTAAATTGTAATTGGAATATTTCGGTTTGGTTGCTATAGTGTTTGTTTAGTTTGAACCAAATTATGGTCATAATTTGTTGGAGAAAAAAATAAATTAAATATTTAGTTTAAGGGTAAATATGTCCATTTAACATTTCAGAGGGAAAAACAGCCACTTCAATAACTTAGGGGGAAAAAATGCTATAAGTATATAACTCAGGGGGAAAAAATGCCATTTTCCCTTTTTTTTTATTATATAACTAGTATTTGCGCCCGTGCGTTGCACGGAATGAATTTGTTATAATATTTTAAAAATATTTAGATCGATATACAATTGTATAAATTATAACATCGAATATTATAAAATATAATTGAAGAATTGAGTTGCACCGATTATGTTTTATGATGTTATCAATACTTGAATTCGAGTAAATAATTGCCCAATTAATAGTTAACGTGTAGATATACGCATTCGGTGTTGCAACTTTAGAGATTTTATATATCAGTGTTTATAATTTGTATTAATTGGACTAATTAGCTCGTTGTCTAGCAACTCAGTTATAGAAATTATTTATACGGAAGATATATTTTCTATGTAGATATATAGCAATTTTGTCATCTTTGTATATAAAAAACCATAATATCAATAACTTGAATTATACATTATTGAAAATCTCTTTGTAGACAACATTGGTAGTAGTAACGGAATTTTATCCATTCTCGTCTAGAGTTAAAACCATCAGACCATCAGGATGGATGACTCGGGAAAAATTCACATACAATAAACTGTGATTAAAGACGAGTTGTTTTAATAATAACTCAACGTGAGTTAGTGTTTGACCCTGACTTTTGTTGATAGTCATGGCATATGCGAGCATCAACGTGAATTATTTTCGTTAGAACTTGAATGGCAATCTCGTATCAGAAGGGCGAAAGACATTTTAATTGAAGATTTTACTTTTATTAATAGTATAAATATAGATTGGTGTAAATAATAATTAATAAATTATTATTTTCTTATAAAATTACATATAATTTCAAATGAATTTTCTCATTTATTACGCAGAATTTGTTTCCATTATTCTCACAATTATAATGGTTTAATTATTCTCAGCATTTGATAACCATCATCCATTTTTAAGTACACATTGACTTCAATGTGTGATAAAAATTCATTAGATATTAGTTAATTTTCATATAAAATTTTGTTACCAATTAAGCTTTATTAAATTTTTTTTACCAATTAATTAATATTCATATTCATTTGGGCAGGAATGTTGAAGATGATAATTTTACTTTTATTAATAGTATAAATTGGTGTAAATAATAATTAATAAATTATTATTTGTTTATAAAATTACGCAGAATTTCAAACGAATTTTCTCATTTGTTACGTAGAATTTGTATCCATTATTTTTATAATTATAATAATTTAATTATTCTCATAATTTGGTAACCATTTTTCATTTTTATATACATATTGACTTTAATCTGTGGTAACAATTCATTAGATATTAGTTAATTTTCATATAAAATTTTGTTACCAATTAAGCTTTATTATCTAATTAATTAATATTCATATTAATTTGGGTTGGGATGTTGTAAATGAGGATTTTACTTTTATTAAAGTCATTTCACTAAGAACTTGGAGGGTGTGGTTGAGTGGAAGGGACGCATCCATCCTTATTAACCAAAGACAAGGATTTGATCATTGCCTTTGGGAATTGAGCAACTTTAAATCTCCACGCCAGCCCTTTCACCCAAAAGAGGGACATTAGTCACTTTATCTAATCATATTATATTAATTTCATTTTGAAATCATTGGTTCACATATTTAATTTATTTATTTTTTCTTTAATTATTCTCGTTGTAAACATAAATGATATTGCAATAATTAATTTATAATATTTATCAAATTGTATTTTTTTTAAATGTAAAATTTTCTCATGTTTAGGGATTAAAAATATTTTAAAATTATTTTTTATTAGTAAGTATTTTTATTTCTAAAATATTTTCCAGCCACCCAAACACTCCCTTAGTCTCTAATAAAAAACTGAAAAATAAAAGTTATTTCATTAAGAAAATTAAAACTAATTAAAGTAAATATAATCATGCTATATTTATTTGTAACTGTATATTAATTTCATTTTGAAATCATTGGTTCACATCTTTGAATTATTTATTTTTTTCTTTAACTATTATAAACAAAAATTATGATATTTATCAAATTGTATTTATATAACATTTGCACATGTTATGAGGTGTTAAAAAATATTTCAAATTATTTTTTATTAGCATGTATTTTTATTTTAAAATATTTTTCAGCAGGATAAACACTCCCTTAGGCTCCCATAAAAAAAAAACTGATAAAGAAAAGTCATTTCATTAAGAAATTAGAACTAATTAAAGTAAATCTAATCATGCTATATTTATTTGCAATTGTATATTAATTTCATTTTGAAATCATTGGTTCACATTTTTGAATTATTTATTTTTTTCTTTAACTATTATAAACACAAAATTTGATATTTACCAAATTGTATTTTTAAAAATATATAACATTTACACATGTTATGAGGGGTTAAAAAATATTTTAAATTATTTTTTATTTGTATGTATTTTTATTTTAAAATATTTTTCAACAATCCAAACACTCCCTTAGCCTCCCATAAAAAAAAAACTGACAAAGAAATGTCATTTCATTAAGGAAATTAAAATTAATTAAAGTAAATCTAATCATGCTATATTTATTTGTAACTGTATATTAATTTCATTTTGAAATCATTGGTTCACATATTTGAATTTGTTTTTAATTATTATAATTTATAAACAGAAATGATATTGTACTAATTAATTTATGATATTTATCAAATTGTATTGTTTAAAAAATATAAGATTTACAAATGGTATGAGGGGTTACAAAATATTTTAAAATTATTTTTTATTAGTAAGTATTTAAAAAAATAAAAATTCCACCAACTCAACACTCCCTTAGCCTCCCATAAACAATTGATAAAGAAAAGTCATATCATTAAGGGAATTAAAACTAATTAAAGTAAATGTACTCATACTATATTTATTTGTAACTATATATTAATTTCATTTTGAAATTATTGGTTCACATATTTGAATTATTTATTTTTTTCTTTAATTATTATAAACATAAATGATATTGTATTAATTAATTTATAATATTTATCAAATTGTATTTTTTAAAATATAGTGTTTTACTCGAGAATTTTTTTTTTGTTATTATGAATTTAAAATGAAATTAGAAAAATAAAAAGATTTTAAAATGTACAATATAATAATATAGTTGGACTTTTATATATTTGGTCAAGTATCTATTTTCATAACATACAAAATTAAAATTAAAATATTGTATGGTTAGTATAATATCTAATCATGTACATATTTAGATAAGTTTATAGAAAAAATTTATAAAATTAAATTGATTTATTACAAATTGTATTTCATATATATATTATAATTTCAAAAATATTAATAATAATAATAACTAAGAAAATTGTACTTAGAAATCAATAAAAATGTAAATTCTAAATTTTGTATGAATAAATATAAACTCTAATTGGACACATATCCTTATATGATTGAATAATACATTGTATATACACATAATATTTATTAATATGTATATATAAAAATTCTATAATATAATTCATTCATTATAATTTGTATTAATAGATTTATATTTAAAAATTTAAAAAGCTGTGTTATATTTTCAGTAAAATATAAACATATTCATTCGTTTTTCTTAATATTTCATTTCCTTTTGAGTATATTCATTTCTTTTTTTTTCCTTCATAAAAATAATTAATATTTATTTCTATTCATTTTTCCTAATAATTGTCAATTAATTGGCCTGATTTCCATGTCGATTAGGATATTAATAACGGATTTCTGTTTGAAATATTCATTTCCTTTCTGATTAAAAAATAATATAATTATAAAAATATAATTACTGATTATATTTCTAATAAAATATTAATATATTCATTTCATTTTTCCTTCATAAATAATTAATATAAGTATAATAATTATAATCATATAATTACTGATTATATTTTAAATGAAATATGAGTATATTCATTTCCTTTTTCACTCATAGAAAGAGTTAATATTCATTTCCATTTATTTTTCCTTCATAATTTTTTCCTAATATTTCATGTGGTGGTTACTAATTTTTTCGTAGGGAAAACGGTGTTATATTTCCAATAAATTTTTAATATTAAATCTTTTTTTCATTTGGCCTGATTCCTGTGTCTATTAGTAACAAAATATTAATAATAGATTCTCGTGTGTAAAATTCATTTTTTCTGTTCATATTCATTTCCTTTTTCCTTCATAAATAATTAATATAATTATAATAATATAATTACTGATTATATTTTAAGTGAAATATGGATATAT